AGAGGGGTGAGGTGGGCGTCGGGACAGGGGTGAGGTGGGCGTCAGGACAGGGGTGTAGGCAGCAGGCACAGACTTTTGCCTGTCACCACCTAATATGAAAAAGAGTGAATTGAAATTTATTCTTTTCCCATTCTCACTCCAAGTTTTTTATTCCTGTGCATATGCACGTTGTCTGCCTGCATGTTTGCCTTGGAGGGGGAGCTGCGGGTTGTTGTGAGCCACTCCATGTTCTAGGAACCGAATTGGGTCTCCGTCAGAACAACAAGGGCCCTTCACTGTGGAGCTACCTCTCCAACCTCCACTCTCTTACCTACTGAGGCTTTAGCACAATTTTTCTTTAATAAAGTATTTTCCCTAATACACTATAATCCATAAATTGCATTATAGGGATTATTTTTCATTGTTTTGAATGGCAGAATGCTATTAAGATTATGTTACATTAATGTCTCTTTCTTTCTAGGCCTCTTATACTCAAACGAAAGATTGGTTTACTCTAGCAAAGCAATGCCAGCAAACAGTAACGACCTTTTCGCTGCCCTGCTATGTACCCCACCACAAAATTGCATCACCAACTCTTTCTTCTGTGTCTGGTAAGCAAAGACAAGGCCCTTCAGAGTTCGCTGTCTGCTGCATCCTGCAGTTCAGAGGTGGGGAGAGAAGCTCACCACACAGTCCCTGCCTCCCTTCCACTTCCTAGCGGGTTTTGTTGGGTTGTTGTTTGTTGGTTTGGCTTTTGTTATTATTTGCTGGTGCTTTTGAAAGGGAGTCTGAAGTAAATATGATAAAACAGAGGCAGTGGGAACTGAAGGCCGATAGAGACAGGGTCACATTGTGCAGTCCAGGCTAATTGCAGACTTGCTCTCTATCTAGGGCTGGCTTTGTGATCACAGTGATCCCTCTCGCCTCCACCTCCACTGTGCTGGCATGGCGGGCCTTCCTGAGCAAGCCTAGCTCTTAGCTGCATGGTCTTTTTTCTGAGTTATTCCACTTGGAATCTTGCTTCTTCTCACCTGTCAGCTTAGGCTAATATATATAATAAATGTGTAGAGAATTTCACCCCAGAGCCTAGCACACCTTGTATAGTGTAGAGAATCCCACCCCAGAGCCCGGCACACCTTCTGTAGTCAGCCAGGGATTGCCTTATCTTTATCTCTATAGCTCTTTCTATAGGTGTTGGTGGGAGCTGCTGTCCTGCCAGGTCCCATAGCTGTTTAGTCCCAAAGAAATGCACAGAGGTCTATATTAATTATAAACTGATTGGCCTATTAGCTCAGGCTTCTTAATAACTAATTCTTACATCTTAAATTAGCCCATAATTCTTGTCTATGTTAGCCATGTAGCTTGGTACCTTTTATCAGTGAGGCATTCTCTTCTTGCTTCCTCTGTGATGACTGCAGACTGAGTCTTTTCTTTTCCCAGAATCCTCCTGTTTTGGTTGCCCCGCCTATTCTTCCTGCCTCATTGCCCTGCCTATGTTTCCTGCCTGGCTACTGGCCAATCAGCATTTTATTAAACCTGTACAACGGACAAAGCTTTACAGGGTTCAAGACTGTTGTCCCACAGCACTTTATAGAGTCCTCCTACCAAGTCTTTGCAATAAAGTAGGCATAAGATTTCTGAACTGAAAGCAAATGTTCTGGGACTGTTGGAAATACTAGAATTCCAGTCCTCAAGAAGCTAGGGCAAGAAGATTGTGTCTCGAACAACAACAACAACCAAATGGAAATAATAATCAATGGAAATTGAATTTTCCTTCTACTTCTCAGTTTAGACAATTTCTCTCCTTGGAAAACAGATCAGTTCTGCCATGGGGAGTTTTGTGGGTGATACCAATTTTTCATAAAAATTGAAAGAAATAGCCATGAAATGGGAGTTACCAATTAAGATATGGTTAAGGGGGAAGTTCCAGACATGATTCCTGAGAATCCAGGAAACCTGTAGCTGTTTGCTCTAACCTCTCTGCGATGTGTATGTAGCACCTGGAGAAGGTAGACCTCGGTGCACTAACTGACCGAAAATCAACAACTCCTCCTGGTTGAAAGGATCTAGGTTTCTGTGTGCTTCCTGGCCTTTCTCCACACATTGAAGAGGAACCCTAGAGCACAGGACAGTGGACAGAAAGGCTGCCCGAAGGGCACTGGGCAGGAAGGCCCCACTTGCTCTCTGCCCAGCGCTGCTTCCCTTTGCAGGTGTACAGACTTGGAGGGGGGGGGAGTTGTTATATTCATTTTCAATACAAAGTTATAATGAAATGTTTCTAGCCATGGAGATTTCAAGTCTGGTCACAGAAAGTGGACACTGAGAGCTGGCACACTGATGACCCCCCGAGCTGTGGAGTCCGGAGGGCAGACTGACATGTGAAACCTCCATATTTCCTCAAATTCTGAAAGAGGAAATTAAGAACTAAAGCTATATTTTGGGGGGGAAGGAGGTAATCTTTTATAAGTCCCTGTACTATTTTGTCACTTTAATGATAAGGATTACATGTCTGATAGTTATTAAACCCTTTTAATAAATATTTAGTACATTTACACAAAGGCAGATTTAATTCCTATTGGCAGTTTTTTCCTCTCGGCCTCCTAGCGAGGCTTGAGAATCCCTCTGAAGTCCTGGTCTGTGTGATTTGCCATTTTCTACAGCACCTACCTGGCAGTGGAAGAGTTGGGTCGTTATCTAACCTATTAGCCTTCTATAATTTAATACAGAGAATTTAATCTTCGATGATGGAGTTCACCCCAGGACAATAAAGAGCCCAATTAAAGCCACTGAAATAATTCCTGAGATGGAAGAAGAAGAAGAAGGGTCCATATCAATAAAAGATACACCTTCCCAAGCTCTTCTGAGAATATACCTTGAAAGGAAAGATGAACAGGGCAGGCACATGACCGTGCATTTCTCATCATTTGAAGAATTTCTCAACTCCTATATCGTCTTCATCCTGATAGAAGCCATCAAACACATCACAGGCCAGTCCTTCAGCGGCACCCCCGGCTACATCAACTTCTACAGCGTAACCCAGGTGGTGTTTGATAAAGTGGAGCCCACATCCCGCAAGAAGACGGTAAACTCACCCCAGCCTGAAGCAACAAAGGAAATCTCAGAAGAGAAACTGGAAAAAGTAAGCTTAAGTTCAAAGAGCGAGAGCGTGGGGCCGGAGGGCAGGGCCGACTGGTGTATACCTCACAGAACTTATGACATTGGCAACAGAAGGGAATTTGAAAGATTTAAGAAGTTTCTAAAGGGAACATTGGGAGAAAAATACTGGTGGCTGTGGATGGACATAGAGAGACTGAAAGTTCTTAAGGACCCTGGGAGACATCAAAGGTACTTCCATCTCTATTTTCCAATAGTTTAAAAATTAAACTAAAAATTAAATTAAAAATTATAGAATATTTGTTTGAGTTATTCAAGCACAAACATTAAATATTAGAATGTGGTTTATGCACCGGGAGGGATAAAATCAATGATGTTTATTTTATAATAGATTTTTGATATTACAAGTTTTCTGATTTCATAGCTTGAAGATACCAGGGCTGAAGAGGTAGCCTATTTGTGGGGGCACATACATACATGCAAGCCAAAAACTCAAGACACATCCAATAAAAAGTAAAGCTAATAAGCAAATACATAAATAAATAAATAATAAGTAAATAAAACATATCAATAATAGTTATTTGGGTTTGAATAATGTTTCTTTCCATAAATTCCAGATCTACTGTAAAATTATACTTTTTATAGTGTTATACTCTTATAAAAAATTTATATAAAAAGTAATTTATCAGCTATATGACCACACTCATATTAGGCAGCTATGGATGCCAGTATGGGGCCTCTTGTCCCGGCAGGCTGCCTGGCTGACACATCCCGTGGTCTCTGGTCAGATGCCACAAAGCTGTCTGTCTCTCCTGAGGTGTGATGGGGCTCAGCTCTGCTTCAGACTGCTGTGAGTGTCCCTCTTCACAGGATCGGCTCTAAGACAGTTTTACGTCTGTAGCTCCTGATCTAATCTGAAGCACCATAGACTGCGTTTCTTCTGTAGGCCTTGGTGGAGATCCGCCAGTGACTGGGCTATTAGAGTAGAATTTGGGTCACAGAGCTTATGCTTTGATTAGGGCTCAGCAAATGGTTGATTCTCTAACCTGCCTTGATCCATATTTGTAAGACATATCAGGAGAATCATATACAAGAAACATTGGGATTTTCAGGATCAATACTATGAACTTCTGTTGTCTCTATAATGAATTACCCACATCTAGTAACCTAAAAGCAACAGTTCCAGAGGTAATCTTTTTCTTTACATTTTACAATTTATGGAGGAGACTGTCCTTGGTTAATGTCCCCTTCCTCTCCCCCCATGACACCTTAGCTTCTGATGTCTTCACTGCTCTAACCCCACCGTGTCTCCTGGAGAAGGATTTCTGGCACTCCCTTGCTGCTGATTTTTCTCTGCCTTTTTTTTTTTTTTTTTAACTATTATAGGTAAAAAATTTTTTTGGAGATTTGGTGTGCACAGTTTCACAAGGCCATCCAGCTTATTGAGAAAAGCAAACACCCTTGAAAATAATTTATGTCTATAAACCCTTTAGTACTCTGTAATGAGAGTTGGTCTGGAGGTATTTATTACTTGTCTGAAACATCCACGTTTGAGAAGTTGAACAATGTGTTGACCTGTGTATATCTGTGTTTCCTCTAAGACATCTTGAGAAAATGAAGAAGTGCTACCTTGTGAGCAGCGGGGAGCGCTTCCTTTCCAGAGAAATTCTCTCCAAGTTTAAGCTGCTCCACGGGTCCCGGTGGACAGAAGAACATTTGAGAAACATTCAGGTCGAGGTCATCAAACCCCTGCTTTTGTATTGGTAAGGAAAATAATGTGGATCAGAGTTATTTTCCTTTGCTTTTCTTAGGCTGGATACAAATAATTTTTTTTGTCTCGTGGTGGTTATGTAACTATGGAAAGTTAAAGTGACCAGTTTACCTTTGCTTTTCTTTGAAAAGCATTTATCTTTCAGATGCTTGGTGTGGTGGTTTGAATAAGAATGGCCCCCCTAGGTTCATATATCCAAATGCTTGGTCGCCAAGGGGTGGAACTATTCGAAAGGATTATAAAGGATCAGAAGGTGTTGCCTTGTTGGAGGAAGTATGTTACTGGAGGGTGGACTTTGAGGTTTCAAAATACCAGGGCCAGTCTCTGTTTTTTTTTCTTGGCCCGTGGACCAGGATGTAGCTCTCAGTTTCTGCTCCAGCCCCATGCTTGTCATATGCTCCCTGTCGTGATGAAAATGACTAACCTCTGGCACTGTAAGCAAGCTCCCTTTAAATGCTTTCTTCTGTAAAAGTTGCTGTGGGCATGGAGTCTCTTCACAGCAACAGAACAGTGACTAAGACAGAAGTTGGTACCAGGAGTGGGGTTGCTGTGACCATGCTCCTTGTTGGTGGAATATGGATTAGGAAAGCAGTTGAATGCTTTAAGCAGGGCTTAAGGAGCCATACTAGCAGGAGCGTGGAAGAAAGTGATGCTGAGAGCAATGTAAATTATGATGGCCTGACTCAAGAGGATTCAGGGGAAAAGAATATTAATTAGTAAGTGGCCTAGGGACCATTTTTGTGATATTTTGATGAAGATTGGCTTCCAAAACAGTCAGGGATATATAAAAGGACCTTGGCTCAAAACAAATAAACAAACAAACAAATAAAAAAAAACCAACAAAATCCTAGCAAAATGTTCATATATTTTTAGTGCTAATTTGAGCAATTTTTATTTGATATTATAAATACAGGACTGCTATAAACTACCACAGCATATTTTATTATTTTTAAATTTCTTAATTCTTTTATGTATTTCTTTTTCTTATCAAGCAGATAATAATTTTAATATTATGGTTTTTCTAATATATATTATCTTTTCCTATTAGAGAATGAAGTATAAGGAAGTAACATAGTTTGTTCTTTTGTTTGTTTGTTTGGTTTTGGTTTTTTGAGACAGGGTTTTCTGCAGCTTTGGAGCCTGTCCTGGAACTTGCTCTGTAGACCAGGCTGGGCTCGAAATCACAGAGATCTGCCTGCCTGTGCCTCCTGAGCCTGGGTTAAAGGCGTGCACCACCACTGTCTGGCATAGAAAAATACTTTTAAGGTGAATCAATAGAAAAAGAAATAGAAAGTGACAGAAAGGATTGATAATCACGATGATGAATTATGTCGTTTGTATGCTTTTAGTTCTGAGATTTATTATAGTTCCATCTTAACATATAAATCTTAAGGTTTTTTTTTTCTTCAATAAACAGGGCACCAAGATTTTGTGTAACTCATTCATTATCAACAAAAAATGCTAGTGCGGAACTGAAATTCTGGCGCCTCCGCCAAGAAAAACCCAGGAAGGATGTTGACCCTTTCCCACAGATGGCAACCCTCCTGCCGTTAAGACCAAAGTCTTGCATTCCCCAGGTCCCCAAGGTCCAGGTAGGGTGCCCAGCGCGGGAGCTGCTCTTTATCAACTGCACAGCTAATGTCTGTCTGTCCTCGGGTGTTTGTCCTTGCTGTGGTTTGAACATGAGCTAAACCCTTTAGGCGTACATGTTTGAGACTCTGTCCCCAGTTGGCACTGTTTGGGAAGGTTGTGGAACCTTTAGAGATGGGGCCATGTTAGAGGAAATGGGTCACTGGGGCTGGGTCCTGAAGCCTTATTGGCCAGGCCCCATCTCCGTTCACACTCTACTTCCTGAACGTAGGTACAGGGAACACCCAGCTCCCTGTTCCCACCACCATGCCTTCCTCATGACAAAGTAAACCACTCTGGAGCTGTGAGACGCATTATACCCTTTCTCCCTTGGGTTGCCTTTATTTGCATGATTTATTAGAGGAATGAGAAAGTGACCAGGGCAGCCACTGTTATGGGCAAGAAAGAGGGAAGGCCCTGTGTGCTCATCAAGCAGAGAAACCCTTCTAATTTGAACAACTGCACCATTCACTTGTCTGCTGGAAGTTCTCTAGCGGCCTCCTCTTCAGCTTAGAATAAAACATGAAAACTGTGCACAACTCTGCAGGTCCCTGCGAGCCCCGCCCCTCACGTCCCCACATCCTTCTCTAGTTTACTACAACCCAGCCACATTGCTTCCTTTGCTTGTGGTTGAGCATCGAGTGAAAGCACACAGCTTGGCACTTTCTGTTCCCATGCTTGATGCGCCTCTCATGGCCATGCGCCTCTCCCTTGCGGCCATGCATCTTTCCGCTCACATCCTTTAGATGGCAGCTCAGCCCTCAATGAGAGAGGCTGTCTTCCACATAAGCGCTCACACACAGAATCGTACAGCATCATCCACCGTTATCTGTGCCCTTTGCCCTGCCTTGCTTTATTGTGTTTACAGCCCATGAATCACCTATTTATTGCCTCTTACCACCTCCTTCCAGAACAGAAGGGAATTCTCTGGGTTGAGTCCATATCCTTACAACAGCCTAGTATAGAACAGTCACTCAGTAAATACAACAGGAATTGAGTAGACAGGCTGAAAACAGGACATCAAAACCAAAAAGATGAGGGAAAGTCTGAAAAGAGACAGCAACTGAAGGAAATAGAGAGCACCTTGATGTATTCTGTCACCGATGCATCCACCTCGGTGTTAAAGGCCACTCATCTCCACCGCCTTAAGGGTATCACAGAATATTCTGTTATTGGACATAGTCGTACAAAACTGCCCCAAGACTGTTCTACAGCCAGAATGTCACTCCTTGGCAGAAAATGCTCTGAGCAGGAGAACTTTTAGAGCCAGTAAAACATGGTCTTCTTAGCATGTAGTTCTGCAAATTTGGCACACGGATACACCCAATACATAAGCATCAACACACTCACATGAAGCAGTTCCTCTTGTTTTATTGCGGCTTGTTAGTTTTCACCACAATTACTCTGTCTCTTCTTAAAATTGCATTTGTTTGTTTTGAGAGAGAGAGAGAGAGAGAGAGAGAGAGAGAGAGAGAGAGAGAGAGAAACGTCTCAGCGCAGTGGGGGGGGGGGGGGGGCAGAAGACAACTTGGGAGTTGATTCTTTCCTTCCCCTATATAGGTCCCTGGGACCCAACTCAAGCTTTCAGGCTTGACAAAAAGCACCCTACCTACTGAGCCATGTCTCTGACCTTTTATGGCTGTCTGTCAAGTAACAAAGTTCAAGCTTGAAGACTTGAACTCATGGATTGGAACAATGGCTCATTGGTGAGGCACTTGGTCTTGCAGAAGAACTGGATTTGGTTCCCAGCATCTACGTAAAGTGGCTTACCAGTACCTGTAACTCCAGTTTCAGGGGATTTGATGCCTTCCTCTGGCCTCTGTGTGCACTTACACCAGTGTGCTACACACACATATACATTCAGATGTGTGTGTGCACACACACGCACACACACAAAAACAAAATCCAAAACTTACTAATAGGTTTTCCCATGTCTTATACACTTAAACTATTTTTTAATTTAATTTTAAATGAGGAGGGCTGGAGAGGTGGCTCAGTGGTTAAGAGCACTTGCTGCTCTCTCAGAGGACCTGAGTTCAGTTCTCAGTACCCAGTTCATAACTTTCTATAACTCTAGCTCCAGGGGATCTTCTGACCTGTGAGAGCATGCACACACCTAACAGACACACACACACACACACACACACACACACACACACACACTAATGTATGGACCAGGCATGGTGATGTACACCTTAAATTCCAGCACTTGAGAGACAGAGGCAAGCAGATTTCTGTGAGTTTGAGGCCAGACTGATCTCCACTGTAAGTTCCAGGACAGCCAGGTCTACATGGTGAGAACTCGCCTCCAAAGAGTAAATAAAAATGATTCCATAGCGTGGGGACTACTCTGCCTCCTCCTCCGCCCCAGACCCTGAAAGCTACTGCTCTGTTTTCTGTTCCTATCAATTTAGCCATATTTTTATAATATATATTTAATTATAAGCTCAGACTCTTACAGGGTTTCTCATTAAACAGGTGCTTAGTACCGAAAACTACAGGCCCTCTGTGTAGCCCAGGCTGGCCTTGAACTTGTGACCTTCTTGCCTCAGCACCAGAGAAGAGCCGCTCTCATTCTCTTTCCCATCGCTGATTCTTCTTCCCTTTTGCTAGGGGACCCCTCCCCCTCCCCACTCTCTGTTCTTCCTCCAGGGTCTGTCTTGGAGCCTGCCTGAGAGCTCCCAACTGCCCTTGGTCCACAGTCCACCTTATACTTTCATTGACAAAAAATACATTTTATTACTTTTGTATGTGTGGGTATTTTGTTTTGCATGTATGCCTATGTACAATGAGCATGACCACAGGTGCCAGAAGAGAGCTTCAAATCCCTTGGGACTGGAATTACAGACAGTTTCGGGCCACCACGTGATTGCTGGGAATTGAACATGGGTCCTATGGAAGAGCAGTCAGTTAAGAGCAGCTCATAACTGTTGAGCCATCTCTTCCTCTGCCGCCATTAGAAACTGTTAAGAATGGGGAAAATAGCCATAAACATAAAATGTCCCTAAAAGGGAAGATGCAGTATTGTTAAGTTCTAGGTCCTTTGTTACAGCTAAGCAAGCTTCTTTGTTTGACTTCCCTGCCCCACCACCTCCTGGTGCTTTCCCACATGAGTCCTAAGCCCATTCTGTTCCAGAAGAAGGGCTGGTTGCCAAGTTCTTTCCCAGGAAGGAGTCTACCTCCATGGTCCTGGAAGTAAGGACTTAGCCCGTGTCTGGCTCCGCTTGTCACCTGACCTGCTCTGAGTTTACTTTGTCCCATAAACCTGCGTAAGCATCTCTGTTGTACAATATTCAGTAGAGTGAGGGTTGAAATCTAGAGAGAACGAGCTTGAGATAATGTAGAACTTTATTATCTGTTTTCTTTTCGCGCATTTTCCATTTCATTATCTTTTTGCTTTTAGGGAGAAGAAATCAGTTTATTGCAACGATCTAAATCACCTAAGAAATTATCAAAAGTAAGCACAGGGTCTCAGAAGCCTGGGAGGAGCGAGTCCTTGCACCCCGTTCCTTCCAAGGATGACAGGCTTGAGAAAGAGTAGGTGCAGTTCTTTTGAATGTTAAGTGCTTTACTCTATTGGTTTTTTAATATGAATTCTTAGGATTCAGTAATATGTATTAGTGGCTTGTGATTGACCTGCCTATGCTAAGTTAGAAGAATCCCAGATATTAACACGTTTAAGACGACGGTGCCTGTGTCCAGCTGCAGTCAGACGTCTAACCTCTGAGGAGGAGCTCTAGTCCTTATTTAAATGGCTGTATTCTAATCCACTTCTCAAGTTTGAGAACTCATAAGAACCTTGACGCAGGTGAGCATAGTGTGTTTTCTGCTGTGTCTCTCTCTTTATATTCTTCTGTATTTCCAGTGGGATTTTTTTCTTTACCCTGAAAATATCCTTTGCTACCAACTTTGGACGATTTTTTGTTTAATAATTCATTACTTGACATTTGTTCTTATTTTTACCAAAGTAAAACTCATATAACAATAAAAGTTAGCAACCTAATAATATTAAGTGCATACGGTCTGGTTTTCGGCGCATTTACAAAGTGGTCTACCATCACACTGCATAGCCCCTGTATCTCATACACATGTGTGTGAGATCAATTCAGAACTGATGTGTTCTTCTACGCATCACACAGTTGTCTCTGTGAGGAGCTGTAACAATTTGTGATCTTTCTAGTGTGAGTGAGAGTGAGTTCTTTATGATGCGGTCACCAACATGATTTATGTCACTTTTGATGGACAGGAAGACTTTAGAAATTGTGTTTATCTCCACTGAAGTTGAACTTTTCATTTGAGAACCCTTTTACATTAGTTTTTGTAAATTCCATGCTCAGAAACAGAAAGAATAAGATTGGAGGAGAGAGACGATCAATGCAGTTATAGGCGATCAATTCAGTTATAGGTGATCAATGCACTTATAGGAAAAGCCTGCGTGGGTGGCCCAGCAAGTCATCTAATTAATATGTGGCACATGGTTGTCAATGGAGGCTGCTCGTTCATCTCCCAACTGCTCTGACCCAAATAATCACACAGAAACTATATTAATTATAGCACTGTTTGGCCTATTAGCTTAGGATTCTTATTAGCTAACACTTACATCTTAAATTAACCCATTCCTATTCATCTGTGTATTGCCATGAGGCTGTGGCCTACTAGCAAGGTTCCAGAAGGAGCATCTTTCTCCTTCAGCAGCTACATGGCGTCTCTTTGACTCCGCCTATTCTCTCTATCTCTTCCAGTCTGGCTATATTCTGTCCTGGCATAGGCCAAAGCAGCTTTATTCATTAATCAATAAAAGCAGCACATATACAGAAGGACATCGCACATCACATGGTGCATATTTAATTAGTAGTAAATGACTGAATGTAGAGTTTAAAATTCCCTTGGTGAGTGAGACAAATGTGTATTCGGTTCCAGGTTCTTCGTGTCCTTGCCAACAGAAAATTTATGTGTTAGAAAGGTCAGGGTAACCATAATGAACGTCTAATACTACACTAGAGTGTTCTTAGATATTTATGACCCTGGAAGGAAGGGTTTGGAGCCCAGAACGCACGGGAGGAAAATGGAGCTACTGAGCTTCCAGTAAAGGTGGAGTTGGTAAGGAACCAGAAGAGACCAACAGGCTTCTGAGGATCCTGGAAGACAAAAGGGGTGTGGGGGACCGAACCTGGGTCTCCTAGCAAGAGACACACACGCTCAACCACTGGACCATCTTTTCAAGCCTGCAGTTTTTGCTCTTTATTTTGAGAGAAGTTCTCGGTCCACCTCAGGCTTGCCTTGACCTCATGGGGCAGTCCAGACGGGTCCTGACCTCCTACTTAGCTTCTCGAGCAGCCGGGATAACAGATCTCAAACTACATTTCTCTCAAAACAAAGAGTTAGAAGGGTGATCTGTACTAATTGGCTCATTTTCACCTTCAAAATACTTTCCAGGTGCTGCCTACACTTGCCCTTGCTGTCACAGTGTGAAGGACACATTTGTGCGTCACTATTAAATCTGACGTTAATTCTGTGTTTCTACCCAGTCGTCAACACTTCGAAGAAGTCCTTTGATACCACGTAGATTGACAGCACGCAGACTTCTTAACTGACCAGTTGGCTCTCACGTCTACACTTTAGGTCCAAGTGGCTACCAGAGGGTACCTCGGTCGTTCGTTTGACATCTTTCACTGACATCTCTGAGTGTCTGAAGCCCCAGCTCGACACAAAGTATACTTATACAGAAGAGCTCAATGTAAGTGTTTCAAGGACTGAATAGCCATGTTCCTCATTTAATCAATTCCCTAATTTTAGATTAAAAAAAACTTATAATTTTTTTCTCTACTAAAGAACACATTTTGTTTTTCAGTTGCAAAGGAATTTTCCCGCAAAATCTGCACTCCCCCCCCTTTTTTTTTTTGGTAGTATCGTTCATCTCAGTCTTACACTGGTCTTGATCACTCTTTTTTCTTTCTTTTTTTTTGTTTTTGTTTGTTTGTTTTGTTTTTGTTTTTTCAAGATAGGGTTTCTCTGGTAGCCCTGGCTGTCTGTAGACCAGGCTGGCCTCAAGCTCACAGAGAACCCCCCACCACCACTAAAATAATGCTGGATATCATGTTCTGGAAATCTCAAATTTATTATTTTTTTTTTTGAAGGCAGAGTGTCTCAGTCAGGGCTTCTATTGCTGTGAAGAGACACCATGATCATCACATCTTTTATAAAGGAAAACTTTTAATGGGGCTGGTTTACAGTTTCAGAGGTTTAGTCCATTATCATCATGGTGGGATATGGCAGCATGTAGGCAGACATAGTGCTGGAGAAGGAGCTGAGAGTGGAGAAGGAGCTACATCCTGATCCTGCAGCCAACAGGAAGTGGTCTGAGACACTGGGCATGGCTTGAGCATATATGATACTTTAAAGCCTACTCCAAATGACACAGTCCTCCAACAAGGCCACACCTCCTAATAGTGCCACACCCTGTGAACTTATCAGAGTCAGTTATATTCAAACTGCCACATACCACTTCTTGTCACTCATAAGCTTGTAATAATATCATAATGCAAAATTCTCTTAGTCCAACTTCAAAAGTCCCATAGTCTATCACAGTCTCAACAATGTTTTAAAGTCCAAAGTTTAAAGTCTCTTCTGAGATTCATGCAATCTCTTAACTGTAATCCCCTGTAAAATAAAAATAAAAAACAGATCACAAACTTCCAACATATAACAGCACAGGATATATATTACCATTCTAAAACGTAGGGAAGGGAGCAGAGTGAGGAAATACTGGACCAAAGCAAGACAGAAAACCAGCTGGGCAAACTCTAAACTCTGCACTTTCATGTCTGCTGTCAAAATGCTCTTCAGACTCCAGCTCCTTCAGCTTTGTTGACTGAAACACACTTCTTTCTCTTGGGTTGGTTCCTCTCCCTGTTAGCAGCTTTTCTCAGCAGATATTTTACAGCTCTGGCATCTCCAACATCTTGGGTCCCCAAGGCTTCAATTTCACAGTTTCACATAATGGTCTCTCTAGGCCTCCATTCAAGGACGCTCCTGACAAGTGTCTGGCCTCATCAGCTTCCCTTAATCTCAGAGGAAAGTTCTCTGACACCTTTTGTACTTGACTCTCAAGTCAGAACCACGGGGCTGAAGCTGCTCGCTGGGCCAGTGCCATTACACCTGATGTGGCTGGAGCATATATGAGACCTCAGAGCCCACCTCCACAGTGCCACATTTCCTTCAACAAAGCCACACTTACTCCACCAAAGCTACACCTCCTAATGGTGCCATTGCCTATGAGCTTATGGGTGCCAGTTACATTCAAACTAGCACAGAAGGGTTTCCAGAGTACAGCTACCCTGACAGGAAGCGTCCAAAGCAGGTGCATTACGTGAAAATTTAGAGGAAGATCTCATGCCCCCTGGGAACCCTTATCAGGAGATGAACAGAGCAGAGTGCTCGCTTGAACCCGCTGCCATCGTGTTTGCTTGGGGAGCATAGAGAAGTCTGCATCCCATAAAATAAATGAGTTTCCATGAACGGTCCCTCCCTGGTCATACTCTGGAGTCACTCACGTGCTCGAGACAGAGCCAGCTCTCTGTGTCTCGGGGATGGTATTAGGGTTGCTAAAGCTGTTGGCAGAGAAACCATAAACAGCAGAGTTTTATGAGAACCTCCATTGCCATTTCCACTCTGAAGGCCACGACCTGTCGGGGTGAGACTGTCCAAAGAGCCCCCTCTCTGCCCCGTTAATGAGCAGCAGTGAGAGAAGCCTTGGAGATGGCTCTTTTTATAACCAACACGTAGCTGGAATAGCAGCACCTCAAGGCTAAAATAGCAGTGAGTATGTAGGTAACAGGCCACCAAGGGAGACTTGAAAGGCTCCCCAACGGAGCCACTGCGCCCGAAACATGAACGTCACTGAGGTCAGGGAGCTACACTCATATTGGGCTTGGGATCACAGTGGCTTATAACAGAGTGGATTCTCCTGCCATAACTGAGTTTCATAAATGAATCTTCCATGACAGTCAGATGCAAGCACATTGCTTTAATTACAGATGGGTTACAAACATAAAATGGTAATCCAGGAGAATTTATGAAACCCTCTTGTATAGGGCCATGAAGGAGCGCGTTGCGTTTGGTGCTAACGAACTTCTGTTTCATTATCTAGGTTAAAACTGCCTCCGACGCTGGAGCTTTAGGAGGGTTTGACATGGAGAACTTGCTACAGTCTTTATATGTGGAAAACAGAGCTGGATTCTTCTTCACTAAATTCTGCGAAGGTTCAGGGAACGAGGTAGAAAATGATGATTTAAAATCTGGATTTATTATTTTGCTTGATCTAAAAATAAGTGGCATTGAAATGACTTGGTGTTCTTATAAATATGTCTGATTTTCAAATTCCCATCTGATAGATTTAAATCCACACTTGATATCGATTAAATCTTCAACCATTCAACTGAATTGTAACTCTCTTTGGTTTAACCCCCTGCTAAAATTACAAAGAAAAGTGAAATGCAGATAAATACTGACATACATTACAAACTATAGTTAATTATATGATTTAATCTCAATTTACTATGCCATATTTAATTTATTAATACTTGATTTTTAATCACCCTAGCAACCATAAATCATACTGAATCAAGGTAAAATGGTTTCCAGAAATGTTTTAAAAATCGCTATTTGTATGCCCCAGACGAACATGACTGGCAGGCCTAGTGGTCACTCTCGGGCTCTTCTGGGATGCGCATTTACCCACATGCTGTATACTTCAAGCTCTTTAGCTGCCAACTAGAATGCTCGCAATTTCCGTGTTCATCACTATTTTCAAACATTCACTATTTTAGTGACCAACTCTATGGGAGGGTTACATGCAAAAACACAGTGTCCGACCGACAACAGCAGTAAATATCCTGCATATTGCCATGGACACATGATTTGTGGCCGCAGCAGGGACCTAAGCACTCATACACACATGTGGAGTGCGAGCTCTGAGGGCCTTGCTGAGAGTCGGTGCTGATTTCTGTGCTTCTCCCTTGCAGCTGTGGAAGCACAGTGTGTACTTTTGGTTTGACCTACAGGCTTATCATCAGCTGTTCTACCAAGACACACTTCAGCCTTTCAAAGTGTGCAAGCAAGCCCAAGTAAGTAGCAGTTAACTCTGCTCCCGCAAACCTGTGTGGACGCAGGAAAATAAACACTGTGTCCTGCCCCAGGCTAGAGAGAGCTGGGTTACAGGAATCACTGCCCCAGAAGGGCTCCATTTAAAAGTAGGCAGAGTGTTGTTTTATAATCTGATTTATGAGTCTCCCATTTTATCTGTTTTATTTGGTTTGCTTTGTTTTCTTTTCCTGCCAACTATTTGTTCTTCCAATAAAGAAGGCCTCGTCTTTTTCCCCTCGGCACATACCTTTGTGGTTTGCCTGTGGGAACTGAGAACACCAAGAGCGGATGTGCAGTGGATCACCGCAGTGACCAGGAGTCAGGGTTCTGACTAGGCCTCCCCAGCCTCCTGCAGATGTCAGCTGTCGGATGTGCCAGGCTGCTGGCACCTCGCTGTGCGTGTGCGGGGCCCCACGCCGGCGTCTGGGCTTCCATCTACACGCCATATGAGACAGACGCTCTGAGGGCGGAGGAGAGAGCCTTTCAAGACCACCCTGAAGCAAAATAGGGCAGAAATAACAACAACAAAAAACCAGAAGAACAGAAGATCCTCTGCAAATGGGGACAGAGAGAGTAGCCTCTTGCAGGGGGGCAGGGTCAGGAGGTGGGGAGGAGGACAGAATTATGACTCGAGCTGACTTTTTGAGATTTTATTCTTAGGTTCTTCAGATCTTTTATGGAGCAAGGTTTCCAAGATTAGACAACTGTGGACCCCTTCTCTGTTCATCTCTTGATGGTTCTTGTAACCCCAAATAACCCAGCCCAGAGAATCCTCCCCCCAGATGCTCTTCAGGGAGTTAGTGTCATCATATTATTTATTATTTTATAGTCTTGCTCAGGACACCAGAGTGCACTGCTGGATGTCTGGTTGCTTCCATCCCCCTCCCTCAACTCCAGCATGGGTGACTTTGCTTTGTGGCTCAGTGACAGCTTTGTACTTCTTGCCGTGAGAATAAGACCTGCAGCGCCGACATAGCCCAGATGTCTCCAGGAAATCATGAAATGAATCTCTAATTTACCAGTGCCATTTTCTGAGACCACACAGTTCTGCTTGTTAATCCTTTACCTGTAACACACTGTTTACCCTCCTCCCCTAACCCATTGCCCCCGTCGGCTGCAGCACCATCTGTTCTTTTTATAATGTTTTCACTACGCAGAGTCCTCCTCCAAAAAGTCCTCAGCTGCGCAGTGTTATCAGCCAGGTTTCGTAGACATTTGAAGAAGGAGGTTCTGTGGCTTCGTAGACTTCCTGGCTCTTAGCAATGCTCCTCTTCAGTTAACTCTGCCTGGTTCAGAAACTGGGCAGTCTGGGTTATTTAGAAATGGATTACTCTATTTGGGGACTGCCAAGACCTAGAAGGGTTCCCCCAAGCTTTGCTTTTGGGAGTTAAGGCAGGAATGGGAGGAGCAGGCCAGGGTAGAGCACTCACCTATTGGATTGAACAGGGAGAAATTAAAGGAGAGAATTCATGTGATTTTTTTTTAAAAATGCATTTAATCTTGTACTATACTTGATTTACTTTTTTATTCTTGGTAAGAGTAAGAACTATTTCAACTAGTTTGGGTTTTATTATGCAAAGTTTTCATTCCTCTAGACAGGAATTGTCTATGATATTACTGTATCATCCATTCTTTTTACAGTATGAACTATTACTCATTTAATGACAATAGACACACTGTGTGGCTTTTTTCAAGGTTTCATTTATAATATAGATCTTTGGATCTATAACATAGGGAATTATCATTTATCTGCCACTGCATGGTGAATGTGCCACGAACTTGATTTTGTATCATTTTCACGTGTCCACCAAGCTGCTACCCACTAAGAGACTAGGAGTTGGTGCCAAAGGACCCACGTGGTTTTCTGTATACATAGTTTTATTCTCCCAAGTAGTAGTATAGGAATAGTAGTAGATAGAAAGGGGAAAGTCAGTAACAAGGATTTAACATGACTCGTGAGCCCTAAAGTTTGGGGGCTTGCCTTGAGGTCACCTCTACACGACTTCAATAGAAATGAATGGCCTTGGCATTGTATAGGTACAATCCCTGCCTCTAGAGGGCCACACAGCTGGATTCTGTGCTTTGATTCACTTTGCCTGTTTGTTTTAGCAAGACGACTGACCACAGAACGCTGCTGTCTCCTGTGACTGTGTCCTGAAATCTTTCCAAGAAAATGTATACTTCAATTAAAGCTGCATTTAGAATCTACCACCCTCTCTAGCATAAGCATAGATATTTTTAAATATAGCAAATATATATGATAGATTCATATTAGATATGCTTATAAATAAACATACATGCATGTTTATCATTCTAGAGGAGCCGGAACCTGGGAGAGTGGAGCCAATAGTGAGGCAGACTAAAGTCCCATGTAATTGCCAGCTTTATTCTGAGCATCAGACAGTTTGCACTCTGAGGGCTAAGAGGAGTCACCTGAGTAAAGAGGACAGTCACAGGGACAAGTCACATGTGGTAGACAAGCTGCATGCAGCAAAAACATGTTTTTCCATAGAGGCATATAAACTAAAAACAATAGCCGGTTTTAATGAATACTTTGAATTAAAATCACTCCTATCTGCTATAGCAGGGAGGGGCACCAAAGCATAATCCAAGGCCAATTCCATGTTTTTAAGAAACTGAGGCTGTCAGACTCTTGATTCCTTAGAGTTTTCTCACAAGCACTGAAAACCTCCTCACGTAGCTTCAGTCTTAGATGATGTTCCAGTACATGCGCACCAACATACATACGATTCAGGAAAATAAGAAACACAGCTTGGAATCTGGCTCCTTGGCAAGTGCTTGCCTGGCATGTGTGAGACCCTGGGTTCAATCTGCAGCACTATAATAAATAAATAGAAACTAAGTTTGTAGAAAGGGAAAGAAGGCAGTTTAAAAAAAATAAAAGATTTCATTTGCCTGAAAATGTCCATTTTATTCTGATGACATAGTTCAGTGTAGACTTAAGGACTTGGTGGTTTTGCTGTTTGTACTGAGACCTTTCCACACGTGCCTATCGTGTATTTGATCATATCCACCCGTTACTGCCTATCCCTTTCATCTCCACTGACTGCCTCCTTCTTCTGGACCATGGACTGTTTACTCTCAGTGTTGTGAGGATGCTAGTGTCCAGTCGCTGCTGTCCGTGCAGGATGCCTGTCCTCAGCGCCTTCAGACCATCCCTCTGACTTTACAGATTTGGGTCTGTGTAGGATGCCTGTCCTCAGTGCCTTCCGACCGTCCCTCTAACTTTGCAGATCTGGGTTTCACCATGGTGTGCTTACTGCCACACCCTTTCTTAGGCTCCAACTGCCAACTGCTTCTCGACTCTCAGGAATCACACTCTCAGTCAGTTCTGGGCAATCCCCAGCTGGTACTTCTTCCAGTGCTTATACCTGTGCATTCTGCCATGTCCTGGATTCCCTGTCTGAACCTGCTGGTGCTTTGTAATACATGCTGTTTTCGTTTTGCTAAGCAACCCACCCATTGGGTTTAGCTATGTCTCCTAGTCATAAAGCTTTATTTTTTTGTTTGTTTGGTTTTTTGTTTTTGTTTGTTTGGTTTTTTGTTTCTGTTTTTTTGTTTGTTTTTTGAGACAGGGTCTCACTATGTAGTCTTAGCTGGCCTGGAACTTACTATGTAGATCAGCCTGGAACTCTTAGAGATGTGTCCACCTCTGCCTGGAATTAAAGACTGGTGGTACCGTGCCCAGCTACGATTTTTTATTCTTAAACATTATATTTGTGTTTTATAATTTTTACTGGTATTTTTTTCTGCTCCCTACATTTTTAAATTTCTTTAAAATTGTGCTCTGAATCACTGAGAGCTTGTGTCTTTAGCTGGGCTACTTATTCCTGCGTGACAGTTTTATCACAAACTTTGTGGCTCAGAACAATACACATTTGTTCTATCAGTTTCTGTGGGCCAGGATTCAGGGCACCACAGTGCTGGGTCTTCTGAGATAAGGACTGGGCAATTTCCACCATGGAACCAGCTGGGGAAGGGTCTGCTTTAATGTTCATGTGGTTGTTAGTAACATTCAGTTCCCAGCAAGTCACTTTGCTGAGAGTGTTTGCTGACTGTGAACTGGAAGCCATACTTGGAGCTGCACCACGTGGCTCTCTGTATATGATTATGCACAATGTGACAGCTCATGTGTCCATTCCCCCAGAGGAGAGCTCCTTAGCAAGGTGGGTGTTACCTTTTCACATAATATAATTGTGTACTTGTCTTTGCACACAAATCACTCTATTGCTGTGTGCTATTGGTTAGAAGCAAGTCACACATTGTTTCCATACCTGGCGTAGAAATCAAGAAAAGGCATGACAGCCTGGTATGGTGGCGCACGCCTTTAACCCAGCTCTGTGAGGCAGAGGTAGGTGGAGCTCTGTGAGTTCAAGACCAGAATGGTCTACAGAGGGGGGTCTAGAACAATCAGAGCTACATAATGGGACCCTCTCTCAAAAAAGCAAGAGGAAAGAGAGAGAGAGAGAGAGAGAGAGAGAGAGGAGAAAGCACGGCTATCAAGAGTCACTGTTTATAGGCGCCACCCTAGAGGCTGGCTGCCACAGTATTCAATAATTCCATGATTTGTAGTTCTTGGAAGAACTAATTTTTAGTTTTGCTGACATAGTGAATTCTTTCTTTGTATGTTTAGTAGTTTTGAATTATAAGCTCTTTAGTGGGTTTTTTATGTCATTCTTCAGCTGGGCACATTTTAAATGCTAATTTCTTATCCTAGAGAAATGTGAAAATAGACAGAGTGTAAACTGAAAAACCAGGCTCATGCAGGGGAAACAGTAACAAATCCAGGCTCGCACAGGGGAAATAGTAACAAATCCAGGCTCGCACAGGGAAACAGTAACAAATCCAGGCTTCGCACAGGGGAAATAGTAACAAATCCAGGCTCGCACAGGGGAAACAGTAACAAATCCAGGCTCGCACAGGGAAACAGTAACAAATCCAGGCTCGCACAGGGGAAACA